GACACCAAAGGGTCACAGTGCAACACCAACACAGAGTGCATCACTTACAGATAATCTCCTCAAGTTGCCAAAGCACTGACTTTCTGTGTCTTCTGCACCTTACTTTAGCCATCTTTTCCCTAACATCAGTACACAAATTCTCCATACTGTTCCCCTTATATTCCCAATGGTACTTACAAGGAGAATTTAACAATCAAGAGGTTCTTGAATTCACAATCATTTCTTTTATTCTCATTACCTTAGTGTTTGATTCAGGGGTGATTCTGTTGGGAGAATTTAGATGCTAATCACTGGTAGGGTGTAAAGGGTTAATGACAGCCTGTTGTCAGTAATAACAGAAAATTTTAATCAGGTTTACCAGACTCCAAGGAATTTGTCACATCACTGCATTTGTTTTGCCACCCAAAACTCTCCCCTAACCTGAAGAGCAAATGACCTTGCCTTCTTCATGGTTGAGATGAAGGATTCATGAAAAAGTACTCACACAAACCACATTACCTGTTATGATAAAGAAGCAAAAACTATTTAAGAAATTAATATTGGAGGAATAAATTTAAAGCACTTTAACTGTAGTTGTTTTGCATTTGAAGAATATTTGCTGTGTCCTTGTCTGTGGTAGAAAAAGGCATCAACCCACTCGAACATCCATGATGAAATAAAAGGGAACTTAAGCAGTCAGGACGGCAACGTCAAGGAAGATTCCGATTAAAAAATGAATTTCTGCTCTTAGTTAGAATTTCAAACATGGCTGCAGGAGCTTACTGTCTCATAATGGCACCACAGCTGAACTTCAGTATGTTGTATAAAAGTAGTGTTGAGTTCCAAATGAAAATTAAAATAATTTCGGTTCGCAGACGACGCAAATTTTGGCGATTTCACGTTGTTGTTTTGCATAGGACGGCTAAGAAATGTACAAAGTTTCAAAACGCACGTGCTTAAAAGTTAAGGAATCACTAAAATGCAAACTTCTGACTAATAAAATGAACAGCCAGTAATGAGCAGAAAATGTGATCAGAACTCTAACAAGAGTTTCTACTGCCTTGATGGACAAGAGATATAAAGTCCTCTAGCTCTGAGACTCCCAAGATCATAATAGCTCCACGGAAACGGCACTGATTAAAATTAACTGATGAACTGCTCTTTAATATGGATAATAATATGGTAACTGGCTTAGCTTTTGTCGATTTTAGAAAGGCTTTCGACGTGATAAATCACGAGCTTTTACTTAAGAAGCTATCTATTTATGGA